ATGGTACGGTTGTTCGGTTCGGCGACCTGGAGGCGAAGTGTTGGAGTGGTGAGCGAGGTGAAGTCTTGAGTTCGGATAGAGGAGTGTCCCGAACTGCCATGGGGCAGGCCAGTTCGGGTTGTTGCCCTTTGTGTTTGTAAGGCTCGGGGCCTAAGGGAGAGCTCGGGCTCCTTGCGGGGAGTTCGGGCTCCTTGTAGGGAGTTCGGGCTCCTGGTAGGGAGTTCGGACCGCTGGTTCCCCTTTTCGGAGCTTGCGCCTCGGGCGTGCTGTTGTGCCGAGCTGTTGCCTTTGCCACGTGTTGAGTGATTACGAGGTCGGGCCAAATCTTCCTTCATCATTATGATTCATATAATTAAGTAGGGTGGATGCAGTGGGAAGGCACCCATCAAATTAAGAAGGAAAATTTTATATTATGACTATAAGGTCCACAATTTTACCATTGGATTTGACAGATAATAGTAGGGGAAGCTAAGATGCCAAAATATATATGTTAACATAGATATAGATGTGGGTAAGGGGATACGACTCTAACATTGAGAAGAAATTGAGCTGGAAAAAGTGGTAGAAGAAGATGTTCAATTTAGTAAAATTTTGGATCTTTTCTTTCTGATTGGGAAAGAATTTGCTAGGAAAACATTTTTGGAGTTGGAGGGAGGTAAGGAAGATAAGGGTTGCAGATCTCAGAGATGGAGACGGAAGTAATGGGTAAAAGGATTTGTTAGAGTAGGGGGAGATAAGGGGTTTCGAGGGGACGTATAAAGGTTTTGCTGGTTGGCGTGGGTGAAATAGGAAATTTCCATGTTTGAAGATTTGGATAAGCATTCAAGAAGACTATTCAGATCTGATTTATTATGTTCAAATTTGTTTTGTATAGGGTGCCTTTGGAGGTTTATTTAGATGTTTTGGGTGTGGCAGGGTTGTCCCAATTGGTATCATTTATTGCTTTATTTATGTTTTTGTCTTTTTAAGGTGATTTCTCATCACCTGGCAATATATGGAGCCTTTTTAATTTTAATATGTTTTCTTTTTTATTTATTACCAAAAAAGGGGATGTGACTCAATTTCTTGAGATCTAGGGCATAAATACAATAACAGTTATCCCATTTAATGTTCTGATGTTGTGCTTCTATATTGCTTGGTGCAATGGTAAAATCTCGGGCTGACAAATGTGAGAATGTTGGTTTGAGTCTGAGGGCAGCCATTTTGTGTGAAAAAAATGCCAAAGATTAGGACTGTACCCAATCTACCCTTCCCAAGACCCCAGATAGCTGTGACCAACATTAAGTAATGGTTTTTATACTGTGCCTCTATATTTAATTTTCTAAGATAAGGTGTTGTTTGATAACCACAGATATAAGCACTGAAAGCTGAGTTTAGAAAATATTACAAATTTAAAAGAGTCCCCTTCAGCATTTCAGTAACTCTTGACCTACTTATTTGTGGAACCTACTTAAGCTTGAAATCTTTTTTACATTCAGCTTCAGCACCTATTTCAGCAGTTACCAAAAACCAACTAGCATTCCTCATTACTTATCTTTTGTCAAAGTTAATTGAACTTCTAGCATCTAAAAATATATCATACATTATTTGTTAAAATTTACCATTTAAATTTTCAATAAGTATTCATAACAAGTATGCTCTAGAAGTCCCCAAGCAAGTATTCTGTGTTGTATCAGGTATTTATTGTGTCCAATACAGTTACTCTAATCATGTAATACTGTTTGGGTAGCATAAAGAGGTGTGAGAAAATTGCGTGTACATGTTAGAGTGATACCAGGGAAGAAACAATTTATTGTATATACAGAAAGCTGGGTACTTTTAAGGTAAACTTTGATTATTGTGTCATGAATCCATTGGCATTGGTTGAGTTCTAAAGATGAGTTCAGTGAAGCTATTAAGGCTTTCTGAAATCCTTTAAATGCCAACATTCTAAGTGAATCAAAAGTTGAAACTCTATTCAGTAACTCAAAGTCTCTAAGCATGAAGTTTCAACGGTGGAAAGAGACTTGTCAAAAGCTAATCCTTGGTGACCAAGTGACCAAGGAAGATTCTGTTATATGGGATTGGATAGCAATGTTGACCAAATGCAGGAACCTCTGTGAAGCAAACTTTAACATGTACATGCAATAGATCAACATTGCTAGCCAACCCCATATAACAGAATCTTCCTTAAGGAATTAAGTTGGCTAGCCAACCTCAAAATGAGCCTCCTTAAACATAGGTAATTAAGTTATTTTTTCCAATAGATTAGAGAATTAAATTAGGCTGTATCTAAGGGGCAGGGGCAAAAAAATGGAATTGTTTGCCCCAATTCCACAAGATTCTGAATGCCACTGTTCTGTCTACTTCTATGGTGGTGTGGAATTCAGAAACTAGTGAGTTTTAAACCTATACTGTGTTCTTGAAGATTCCAAAGTTCCAAGAGGGCCACTCATTTCAGTTCTGTGGAATTGGAACAACAATAGAGTACATTTCAATCCAATCCAGTTATTCAAACAGTGATTTACAAAATCTTTCATATTATTTTCTTTGTTCAATACATACCATTTGTTTTACAGGCAACAACAATGAAGACATTTAGTTCAATAGGGGAGAACAAAATAACATATAGGGAGGATGTGGAAGTCATGAAAACCACACAGCCAAATTACAAAGGAAAATGTGCTATAACACAAGAATCCCTTTAAAATTACCCTTCACTATACTATAACTATGCTTTCACCTTTATCATCTAGGCTTTCTATGAGTTATCTATGGTAATAAAATGCACCAAAAACAGGTCTCTATACTATAACTGTGCCTTCACTATACAGGTAAATGCCTGAAACAGGAAACACATGATTTCCTATTTAATCATAAACAGTAATATTTAATATTTAAGTTCAAAGCATAAAAAAGTAGTTGTAGCTTTGGTTGTAATCCACATAAAACTATTTCAGAAAACATCCTTACAACTATCCATATCTTCAGCACAGCCAAAAATCCCAGTTGTCCAAGCTTCATCAGCTGGGGGCTCATAGCTTTCAGGAAGGGGCTGACCACACTCACTGCATCTATGAACAGTCAACTGCATAATAAAACATATGATCATGGTCACATTAAAAGTTCAAGAATTTTTGCCCAAGCCCAAACAATTTGAAACATCACTTTAACCTTCTGGTTTGGTGGAGGAATCACAAATGTTGATGTCAAACCTAAGGACAAGAACCTATTTTTGCATGGGCTCTCCAAAATGGATGATGTGTCCACATTAGACACACATTGAATTCTAGTACTCCACAGATTCTTGAGGGACACCTCTTTGTAACATTTTCCTTTTTGTCCTAACTTATTTGAGATAAATTAACAGCTAATGTACATTATGAATTCCATTTCTCCTATAAAACAACATTAAGTGGCAAAAATAATCTCTTTGTCCTATGAATAAAGGTGCACAGTTAGAAGTCAAAAACATGCCAAATAGAACTCCTATTTGTTGAAAATTAAAAAAAAAACTTGATTTAAGGAAAAATAAGGGAACAATATTCATGCAACTTGAGATGATCGGTGTCCTGATATAGTACCTATGTAAAAGGCAACATTACTAATTCAGTATCAGATTCTGAAGATAAAACATTGAAAATCTGGACAATATAAGTTCCATATGAAATTATATGGATTTGAAGATGCATGACCACATTCTCACAGATGATCCACAAAATGATGAGTTGGTAAAAAATATATACGTACTTAAAGCTGTATTACTATGATGATTGGACTCTAAAATCTATATTGCGCTACAAGAAGGGAGAATGTGATTCAAGATTTGCATTTGGTGTGTCATGTTTAAGACGTTATCATTTTGGGTCATTAATGTAAGAGTTCAGCTCAACTAAGCCTTATCATAACTATATGATATGGGTTGGCTACATGAATCCTCTTCTGTCATTTTGCCCAATTCAATGGCTAAAGCTGTAGTACTATGATGGGAACCCAAACTCTTATGAACATGGGTTCTGAATTATCATTAATGTAGGAAAACTAATTTGAATGGTAAAGAATAATATGTTTTAATTAGCACCTATTTAAGTCTCTTAATCTTCCATTACTTGTTATTACTTAAAAGTTCTTTATAGTTTTCATTGTTTTAAATTTGGAAAGTAATGAGTAAAGAATAAAGAATACTACATCTTCATTATCACCAATTCTAATCGTTATAAACTTCTACTAGTTGTTGCAAATAAAAGTTCTTCATAGATTTCTGAATATTCTCCATCTGTCCTTCTTTAATGTTTCCAATCTTTCACCAATTTTCCCATATTTCCCATTATTTCAGAAATGTCGTCAATAGTTCTCCAAATATACACATTTCCACTGGGTGTGATACTTTGAGCCTTGCATCTACCTGCATTCAATTGTGGAACTACAATAGATGAACCAAATAAACCATGTAAATTTAGTTAAACCCAGAAGGCCACATGAAATGAAAGCATATTCATAATTTGATATGTTCGTTTGTCTAAAATGGAAAACGTGATTGTTATAGAAACAAAAATGATAAACGTTCCTAGAAAACATGAAAGATCTCATTACAATTTACTACTAATATTTCAGAAGTGCATCCAACAACATTCAAACGCTAACAAGGAAAGCTCCATTACGATCCGTCAAAAAAATACGACAACCTTTCTATTAACTGTTTCGAACCAGCACTAACGTTGAAAATTGCAATTACATCAATCGGTCAACATTGGAAATCAAATAACAACAAATTCATGATAACCTCATGGATCAAAAATCAAATCACAAACTTTCCATTAAAAAAAACAGAACAAATCAGACCTGAGGAACCTGAACAGGCTGGTTAAGCTCCCCGGGCGTAATCTCCTGCAAGTCCACTTGATCCTTCGTAAGCTTCACGTAACGAGATTGTGTACTCCCCTCCGCCATCTGATCCAACAGTATAACCACAAACAAAAATACTCAAGGTTCCCCTGAATGAAACTTAGAATCCTATTTGAACTCCAAATTCAACTCGGGAACTACAAACCATATCAATCTTCCTGGAACTTAAGATTCCAAATTCAGAATTCGCATCCAAATACGTCAATAAGCGCCTATTTCCGGCTTTATTTCTCAATATGAATGATACTCTGCAACGCGTTGACGAATCAAATCTACAAAACTTGCCCAGAGCCCAAACCTTCAAAATTGGCAATGTTGTTTACCAGTACTGGTCGTTGAAAGAAAATCACCGCCAAATTTAACGGAGCTCCGACATCTTTAACAAATGAACAATGCCTCCAAATAAATTACTCGAAACACCAGTTTCAGATGACGAGTTTATGTGCGACGACGTCGTGCCGACTGCTACACCTCCAGGATCCATGAAATTTCGGGTACGTTTCTGGTTGAGAGTCCGCATCTCTCGACGTGCGACTAGAATATCAATAAACTACTCTGGTTAGGAAAAACCTTTCATCCGGAGGATTGATATAATAAATGGTCATTCACATTAATGCATTTGCATTGGAATTTGGAAGTATCTGCATACTGCATTGGTTGTCCTACTACCAGTGGAGACTCAAACACCGGATGATCATGATCAATCTCTCAGATTAAAGATTCCAATCAAACAGTTTTACCATGAGGAGGACTGAGGACAGCTATACTGTTAGCCTTAGGTTGTCCCTCCGTGGGCCTAAAGAGATATAGGCCGTGTTGGGCTGTGGTGTTTTATCCAGAATAGTTGGTTTCTCTCTGATCTCATAAACAATAAACACCGAATGAGTGAGTAATACTAATACCAAATAAAGAAAATGGCCTTGTATTTGAAGTGTGGGTCACACAGACGGGGACCGCATGTGAATGACCTGACGTCTGCCAGGAGGTGAGTAAAAAAGGAAGGGTAAACTTGCCATTTGCGGTGTTATAATGAATTGTCAATGATTGGCCATAGGTAATAGTGTGATCATGTGATGGGACTAATGCCCATTGCGAGTGGTCCTCCTTAACCAGTTGTTTCATGTTTTGAATTGGCTGGCCCAGTAAGAGGCCAAATTCTCTTGTTTGAACTTTGAACTCGTAGAATAGAATGGTAACTTTAAGCCCACGAGATCCTTAACCGAACTCAAAATTATTTTGGGGTGGAGCTTGGGCCAAACTGTGTAGAGAGTGCGTCAGCAATATGGAATGGGCTCGAGCCCAAGTCCGAATTCAACATAATTGAAATTCTTCAATCAAGCAACCAATTTCTGGCACTGCTTAGTGCTTACAGTGAATGAAATAGCACCATTTCTAGTTGGAGCCGCTGAAGGTGTGTCCGTCGGAGTCGTTTGGACGCTTTTAGGTAGGAGATTGGTAGAGTTGGAATTTCGTCGGTGGTTGAAGGAGCCAATGGAGAAAGGTTGTTTGGAAATGAATAGGGGATTGAGAAAAGGATTCAACCTATGGTACTCGAAAAACTTAGGCCCCGTTTGGTTAGTAAGAATGGGAGTTTGGAATTGGAGTCGGAATGGATTATTCTGATTTTAACTATTTGGTTGGGTGGAGTTGGAATCTCATTCCCATTCCTGCTGAAATGGCATTCCCCTATTTGAGGGAATGGCCATTCCCTGCCCCTCCCTAGGGAATGAAATCTCATTCCTTCTGATTCCAATTCTAATTCCCATTCCTATCTGAACCCAACAGACTATGGGAATAGACCATTCCGATCCCGATTCCAAAGAATTTCGATTCTGATTCTGACTATAAACCAAACACCCTTTAGTTTTAATGGTGTGCAATCCGGCTAGTCTTAGCTGTCAACGACCTTGCCTCTGAACGGAATTGCGGGGAACCTGAAACGGAGAAGATGAGAAAGCTCCGGGGGGAACCCGGTGTAGAGGCTCTGAAGCTCAAGTTAGAATCCTTCAAAGGCAAGATAAAACCAGATAGCACAAAGTTTGCATACCTTGTTCTTGGGGGTAGGGGGCCTTTTATAGCCACCTCGTGCACTCACTCCTAAGCTTCTGTCAGGTCGGGTACGGTTACCTCTGGTCTCCTGCCAGTTCGGGTGTCATCCCCGCT